TTTTTATATTTATGTTAGAAATAAAAAATAATATATATATATATATATATATATATCTGATCTTCTAGCTAACAGTTGGTAAACGCACGGTGTATGTATGTTACATATACGATTTTTCTATTGAAAAAAAATATGTGTTATTTTAATAAAAAATAGTTTGTACTAATTTTACGCATATACGATGAGCTTCGTTGCCAAATACAGTGAGCTGCTTTATACGGTGAGCTGTCAAATACGGTAAGTTACAAAAACGATAAGGTGCAAATACTATAAGTTGCCTACAAATATGATAAACTACATATATGGTAAGCTTCCTATAAATACGTAATTGCATATACAGTATGCTTAAAATCGGTTTTTAAACTACATATACGGTATGCGATAATCTGATTTCATTAACACCACTATATTCCAACAATATTTACTATTTTCATATTACAAATTGTGGCATTCAAACATAGGGAATTGGACTTGTACGATCAATCATCTAGAAACAATTAAAAAGTGACTTGTTGCTTTTAATAGGTTAATTCCACACGTAAGGTCAAACTAATATATAATCTAGAACGCATAATTTGATAATCATGAGTGTTCCGAGAATTTCAAAAATTAGGTAACTAATAATTGAATTGATATGTGACCTTTTTTATTCAAGAAAAGAATAAAGAATGCAGCATGTTATAACAATCATTGTAAGGTCTAATAGGAGATAGAGATATATTATTATGCCTTGTATGATTAAATCGAATGTTTTTGTGTTTATAATGCATCTTTTCTTGACGATATCTTTGAATGTCTAGAGTAATGATAGATTTAATTCTATTCAAGAGTCATTATGGTACAAAATAAGAAAATAGATTATCTGATTAAAAAGGTGTTTTCATGTTCTTGAGCTGTGTATAAATAAATTAATAAAGAGAGATTTGAAGTTTTAGTACTCTCATTCAAGCGGCTTTATAAACACTTTTTAGTTGCTTGTTAGATAAGTTTAGATAATTAGTCACAAAAATTAATTAATCACTGCTTGGCTATCACAATAGAGTTCCCCTTGTCTCTTTTAGAATTGTTGGCTCATTTTAATTGCATTTTGGACCATTGCAATCCTAAACAGTCATCTTTGTTGACTTTTTATTTCACAATGGGATCCATGTGCCTATTAATTAACGGTCAAAATATACATTTTGGTACTGAAATAATCAGAAACAAACAACCACTTAGTATGAATTAAAATTGTATTAAGTACTGGATATTATAAGTAACGCTATCTTATTCACGCTTTATTACTTAGCTACAAAACCATGAACTTGCAAAGTTTAACGATCAGAGCAAGCTTTTTATAGTGACCACAGAAAAGGAATCAGTTTTTTTAAGGCAACCATAAAGAAGGAAACAACCATTTTACATTGAAGAAATAAAATGGAAGTAAGCTTTCATAGTTTTGCGTGCACTATGACACGAACTTTGCATTTGTGAGGACGTTATCTGGCAACAAAATGTTCAGAGGTTACATATGGTAGACGTGGATGTTTCTTTATTGATAATTAACATGACAGCATGGGTCTTGACTAATGAATTTCATTTGTTATTCCTAATTGTTGACGTGCATGTATATAATCTCTATCATCCTACCTCGTTTCTCCTAGTTAATATTCAGAGTGATACTATGTGGTGAAATTTCACAAGTGCAAGGGATCGTTGGCAAGTAATATTTATTTGACTAGTTGAAAGTATCAGTCCTACAAGAAATAGACTTTAAGTTAGATTGTATCGACTGGAAACTAAACTTAAATGTAACCAAGTCACAAAATTGAGTTGATGTTTTGATTGTCTACTACTAACATTTGTTCTAACTTCTATTTAAATACACATAAAGAATGATTTTATAAAAGCTTTTATGAGAAGATTGTGTTAGCATTCTGACTCCACCTATTGTTTCCTATTCCAATTCTTGGCCTATAATCTTTAGTCTTATTAGTGTATAAATTGGCAACTGTTATAACACACTCACTCATAGTCAAAGTCAAGAAAATTATTTAGTCAAAGTCCAAAATTTAATTGGTCAAAGTCAACGTAAAATAGGGACTTAAATGAAATAAATTATTTTATTGTGGTTTAATTTATTATGAAAAATAGTTAAAGGTTTAAAATGGATAAAACTTAATTTTAGGGATCTACTTATATATTATTGGAAGTAAAGGACTAGATGTTATATTAAATTGAAAAATAAGGACTTCCTTTGCAAAAATGAGTTAGTGGAGTCCAAATGTCCAAATTGTAATCCCATTGCCTTGATTTTTCATTTGCATACATACGTATAGAAAAATTTGAGACGGTATAGAAGAAGATCTGAGAGAAAGGAAGAAAAAGAGAAAGAAAAGAGGAAAGAAAAAGAAAAGGAAAAGGAAAAAAAAGGGGGAAGAAAGAAAGGGAAAAAGGGAAGAATAAAAAGTAAGTGTTGATTTCTTCAAACTTGGATTCTCCATTTCTCCATTGATTTAGAGATTTAGGTGTAAGTAGGTTGAATTATCTTTTTGAGTTTATAGAAATTTTCTCAAATTTAAGGTTTAGCAAAAATTAATGATTGTTGATATATGTTTGAGGCATAAAAAAAACAACAATAATATTAGTGTTGAAAGGAAGGAAATGTGAAATGGTTTTGTAAATTAGAGTTTTAATCTTTGAATTATTGTGTTTATATGATACATAATATTTGATTTATGAGGTATTACAGTGTTAAAAGGAATTAGGATTAGTTTTTGCTATTTATAATTAAATTTCGTGAGAAATTCATGTAGGTGCTACTTCGAAATTCTGCCCAGGATAGTGCTATTTCTGTCAATGGTTTCGGTGAGTCTTTTAATGTACAGAATCTGGTGTTACAATTCAGAATTCTGGGATGTTAGTGCTGTTTTTGTCAAAACCCCTTATTTTCAGATTTTGATTGTTTGAATGAGGTTATATAATAGATAGTGAATTTTAGGTAATGGATTAAGTTGTGTGTAGCAATTAATTGATTTGATTATGTGTAGTGATTGACTAGTAAATAATCAAGGAGAAGAAGAGTTGGGGAAACGAGGATGTAAATATAATAGAAATTGAGAAGTTAAGATGTAGATTTGTATTAATTTAATTGTCATATTTAAATTTCAGAAATTATACCTCTGTTTCAGGTAAGGATGTGAAAACTTGGAAAGGTTCGTCAATTTAATCAGATTTCTATTCATAGATCAGTACGTGGAAAAATATAAATATTATTAAAGTATTTATAAATTAAGTATATTGTTAAAGTATGTGTAATTATGTGCTCGAATTATATGGTTATTATGGATATCTTTTATTATAATACATGTGAGATTTTAAAGATTGTATACGGTACATTGTGAATTGGGATATGATAAATGATTTTGAGATCGACCAGAAAAGTTCCCATGATTATATATTTCTTCTAGTTCACTAAGGGGCCTTGGCCATGTTCTATACTACACTGAGGGGCCTTAGATCGGGGATAAAGGATTCTCGATCGTGTACATATAGTTCACTGAAGGGCCTTGACCGTATTCTAAATTTGATTATGAGAGGTTTTTGAGACTAGCTTTCGTTCACGGAGGAAGCCAAAGGTCCGTGGCGAAAGTTCTTAGCCCGAGAGGCAGATTACATATTTCAGTCAGATGATACATTTTTGGTGGATTTTTCACTATGTTTGATGTGATGAGATGATAACATGGTTATCAGCTGATGTTTATATCATGATTTTGAAAGATATTTTACGATCTTATGTGAATTTTTCACTTTTGATTATGATTACATGATGTTATCTTGTGAATTATTAAATGATATGAACTCAATTTTCGATAGAAATGTAAAATTGAAAAAAGTATAATTATTTTCGAACTTCTTCACTCACTGAGCTATCAACTCATATATTTTTCCACGATTTTTCCTACATGTAGCAATTGATTCTTTTTAGTTGGAAGAGCCTAATGATTTCGGAATGAGAGACACACGGCATATTGAATATTTTAACTCATATTGATAAAACACGAAGTAAATATTTTGGGCTCATCGCATTATATTTTACGTAGGCATTTGATTTTATTGCATTTTTTTGAAATAATTCATAGTTAGTCTTGATGATAGATTTGACATCTAGTCAGCATCTATCAACGGCACACGTCACGTTTCGGGTCCATTAGGGTGATTCGGGATGGGTCGTGTCAGCAACCCTAATCAGTTTTAATAAAACATATCTTTAGAGATTAGTTCAACCTATTTTTAAACACAACTTGAAATATCCCTATTCAAATTTAAATACCCAAAAATGGATTAATTTGCGTGATTACATATTTTGATTGCATAAGTCATAAACTATTATTCTTAATGTTTATTGAACTTTATGTTGATTATATCACAATGTTATAATCCTATTTCGAACCTCCCCTAAATAAATTAAGCAATTTATTAACTAAATAATGAACAAGCATTTAAATAAGCAACAAGCATATGATATCAAGAACTTGTTTGGGCCACATTTTTTAAAAATTAATCACATTCCAAACTCATTTTTGAACCACAGAGTTCCCAATAAAAAACTTTTACATTGAAAAAATAAAATAAAAATAAAATGAACTCTCCATACTTTTTAATCAGACATTCTTCAAGAAATCATTATTACAAAATCTATTTTCCCAAAAATGGGCACAAACAAACACTAAATGTTTTATTGATTAGAATGAAATGCATGAAATAGTGATTTTAACTCCTTTAATAGTGGCATTACGACTTTTACAAGAATACGAATCACTGGGCAATTTTTCTTGTTCTAGCAATATATTTGGAATTTGGATCACTAAAGATCAATAAACTTAGCTCATAAATAATCTTGCGGTACGTGAATATATCCTTGTGAATTTTCTTTTCAATTGTTTTCTCATATAATATTTAACATAAACTATCTGTTTGTGGACAAAATGCCATTTAGAATAACTTGTATCTATTGACCAGACAAAGAGGATACTATGTATCTTTATTTTTAATTTCAAACAATATATGATGCAACAAATATACTGATGTCACTGCATCAAGTCATTAATTCATCGCCTTCGCAATTATTTCTACCGTACAACATTCTCAACAGATAATTTCTCAATGGAGGTAAAAGGCTAGACAATAGGACCCACGAATTGTGGAATTTTTCATCATTTAGCTATTCTTTAAGGACGGTGCACCAAGAAAGTATCATCAAAGAGTGTGGAGTTGATGAACTCTTCAAGGATTGGGAGCTGATGGTTGTCATCGTAACTGTACATTAGAGGAACCATTCTTGCAATATTAAGAGAAGCTTTTGTGAAAGATGAGCTTGATGAGTTTTTATTTAAACGAAAACACTCCTTGTCAAGATGCTTCCAGTCACTTGATATCATATCAATAACACACTCCCGCACAGTCTCAATAGTTGATCCTGGATTCTCTTTCATGTAGCACTCTATGTACGAACCATCATTTCCATCTTGCTGCTCATCCTGTCGTTAGTTTGATACAAAACAAATTAACAATCAACGTGTAATTAATTAACAAGTATCAATCATAAAGTTTAAAATTCTAGATGATGGTCATGCCTAAAAGGTTAAATTGTTATAGAGGGGAAAAGTACTATGGAGTTATAATATAAAATTTTAGTATGTAATTAATTACCTTGGCACTTCCAAAGTCATCCCAGAGACGGAGAATAGCGGCCACAGAGGATATGAGTTCTGATATATCATCCACTTGAACGGCCCCTCCTGTTTTTCTATTGACTCCCAAAAGAAAAAAGAGGTGGACGAGCACCACATGTACTCCTGAACTCACCTTCCCATTTTCTAGGTACTCATGTGAGGTCGGCAAGTGCCCTGAAGCAAACCATTTAGCTTCTACTAGGAATGCGTCACACAGACTTCCCCACTACAACAAATGAAGGATATGCCATTAATGTCATCTATGTATGTCATGCAGAGATATATTAGGCCATAGTTTTGTTTAGCTAAAAATATTAGATTTTTATCTAAGTCAAAGTTAAAACCACACATTTTATTAATCTATAGTTTTTATTGACATTTTAACCATACATTTTATCAAATTTTATCAAAATATACTAAAAATTTGATTTTTATCAAAACCAAATAAGGGCCACATATTGGCATGGATGAAAAAAGAGTATCTATCTTACTGCTGACTTTAGTGAATCAATCGGATTATATCCGTGCTTTTTGTAGATCTTGTAGCCTATATCATTTGTGGTGTCAAGAAGGGCTTTGTAGCACATCTTCATGGGTTTTGGTAACATCTGAACGATCGCATAGTCCCACCTGTACACAATTTAAATATTTAAATCATCAAAAGATATTCAATTTAAACATATTGCATGTCCAATATTGCTCTCCCTTCTAAAATTAGAAAAGAAAATGTTTTATACATGTGCACAGCTCGGGTAAAGACAGTAAGTTCTTCTGGTGTCCCATAAAGATCGAAAATGTCATCTATTATGTAAATAAACGTGATGGATTTGGTGAGCTCAAGCCTTTGCTCCGACATGCTTGGATCGCTCAGGGAAGCCATGGACCATGTATACCATTTTAAAGGTTGGTTCCTAGCCTGCTTTAATTCCTGAGCCAAACCAAGGTTTTTCCACCACCTAAAATTACAAAAGATTCCATTTTTAGTTTTCCTCAAAATAGTCAAGAAATTTTCATACGTACTATGTCTTCTTACTCGGAAATTTTGGCCAGTTCTTGTTGGTTGCCGGTCTTTGCCACGGAAATATTCATTTTTGCGAGCTCTTTCAATGTTTTTCTCCATCCATTTATGCCTTGGAAATCTCTAATATACTTCTTTGCAGTAAATCTTGCAATGCTTCTGTGATAAGGATGCTTCAATCTGCCACTAACAATTTGGCCACTAAATTTTGCTGCTTCATCAAGAATATCTTCTCCTTCTGTCACTAGCTGCGCAGCTTCATACAATTCCATCAATCCTCTGATATCTTGCTTTAATTTCCCTTCAAACACCCCATCTTTTCCCTTGAATTTATTGAATATGTCTGTGTCATGGAATTAATTTGATTACGACTAATAATCATTTCTTTTTCAATTAATTAACAAAAACAAGCACCGAACAAAGACAAAAATAATAAAAAAATAAAAAATTTCAACCTGCGGAAATGGAAAAACCATGTTCTCTCAAGAGTCTGAAGAAAAGTGAAAGATCATGAAGAGTGTATCCATCAAAAGAAGTGGTGGCTTCCATGTAATGTCGCCGAAGAACTGCTTCAATCTCTTCCTGAAAATGGTAATTAACATCTAGTCGCTGGATAGCATCCACCAACATTAAGCTTTCTATTTGATTTTCTAATTCCTCTGATTTCAATATTTCCCTGATATCCTTCAGTTTTTGTTCATATTCCATGGAAAATTCATCCTGCAAGTCAGACTTGTTTTTTGCTTTGCGCGAATATACATCGACACATAATATACAAAAAATATGAAAATATATAGTTATATAACATGAATAACCTTAAAACTTTGTCCATTCAGAATAATTTGGTGGGGTTTAGTGAGTTCAGAGGTTGCTTCAAGAATGGTCCACTTCTGAGGAGTAGCTCTACATGCAACAAGAGATGGTCTGATAACTCCATTATCTGCAATTTTTGTATAAATATTAGAACAATGGCTGGGAAAAGACAAGGGGCTCTTGTAGACTGCCATGGCTGATAGAAATGTATATTTGGATAAATAGCTATGCTTATTAATTAGAAGACGTTTGCTTGATAACACTAAGAATTGATTATGGGATTTATATAGGGTGCAAACCACATGCATTGTAGTACCTGCTCCAATATTTTCCACGTTATGATGACTTTCCTATAAGCATATGTTATAGAAAAAATTCGTGTTATCGATGGAACTAATTATTGCTACATGATAAATTAATTGAAACAAAATTATGAACGGATGGAGGTGGCATAGTGGGACCAGATTCCTCAATAGATCATCAGTTTGGGGTCAAAAGTTGACAACTGCATTTTTAGAGGAAATTACACTTAATACCCATTTTAAAATAATAATTCATAAAATATATTTCAACTTTTTTTTATACTATTATTACTACATTTTACAAAGTAAAAACGAAAAACAATAAACAAACATATATAAATTGATTTTGCTGACGGCTCCTATTACTCTACCAAACAAGCCCCAATCTAAAATTTTGGTCTTTTACCAAAGAAAAAACCCCCAATTCCATGTAACCATATTCCACCAAATTCAAATTTCCCTAATCCAGAGAATCAAAAATCCCCCATGTCCAGTTCTATACATTCATCATCAGTTTCATGACATAGCTAAGCAACTTACTTATCCGCACCATCAAGTTCTTCCAAATTACGCATTTTAGAAAGAATTGTTATAGAAAGATGTTTGTTTGAATGGCAGCCAAATAATAATAATAATAATAACCATGACATTATGACCTTGTTTGTTTATCATTATTTCAAAATTCTTGTTTCTCAAACTCATTTTCAATAATATATTCTCATAATATAATATATTGCATGTATACCTTAAACGTATTCCTACTTTTAATTACACATTCTTAAAAAAATCACTATTTTAAATTTCATTTTCCTAATTTAATGATAGCCAAATAGGGGTTAAATTGACTTCTTGGAAGCAAGCATAGACAATTAATTTGATTGATCAATTAAAAATACTGCACGATTAATTGACTAATCTACTTTTTATTACATAAAATCTATAAAATAAAGTATTTAACTACATTGTCACGGCATAACGTTTTATTATAAATCTATTATCTGAAATCTTTCCATGCGAGATTAAAGCATGATATATATAAATTGATGTGTAGGAAAATTAGATATGTTTGATACTTCAAATTATTTAGCACAATTAATGCAAAAAATTCAGCTCCTCGTAGAAGCTGGATTTAGTGGTTTTTAGAGAAAATCTAATTTGTATCTCCTCTAAAAAAATTAAACAAAAAGAAAAAAGGCAATTTTTTTTTTTATCAATTAAATCATTCTATCTAAAGAGTGAAAGTACCTTAGACTCCTCTAAAAGTACTATTTGACTTCCAAAAACCTCAAGAACACACACTTAGGACTTGTGAGGCCCATTTTTTATGAGAAAAATAGATTATGTAATAGTGACTTTTGGATAATAGTGATTTTTTTGAGAATGTATGGTCAAAAATCGGAAAAAGTGGATTTTTGTTTAAAATTAATTTTTTGGAAGAATGTGTATTTAAACACGGATTTTAAATTTTTTTAAAAAAAAGGAATATTTGTAGAATGGGGCTGAAACTAGAGCTTAATCATTTAATCATTAAATATATATGTCACATAAGCTACAATATATCAAATGTAGTGATGGTTACCACGTTTTTAGAAGGTAAGAGGAAGAAAATAGTGCCGTGCATTGGGAGCCCGGGGTGGTGGGTGCAACATTTTTAAAAGGCAAGATTAAAACATTGAGTGTAATTCAAATTCAAATTTATTTCAATGGACCAGTAAAAAAACTTATTAATACTGTATCATTCGGATGTTAACCTTATTTGTTCTTTTATAACGTACGTAATATTCTCGACACAAAATTAACTTCTTAAATAGAATTGCTCTAACAATTTTTGGATATAATTAAGAATAGCGAATTCCCTATTGCTTAACCAAAAAGTCTTCCCGACTATATCATTGTTTCTCGAATTTAGTTCTACTACATAAGATTGGGTCCCACATACACAATACCCACCAAGAAAGGATGAACGAATGTCCTTCCCCTATTCATAGCCCTTACTTTATTAATGTCATAAGATGTGAATTTAACTTTAAATTAAATCAACAATCGCTTTCAGAATTTACCTCTTGTTTTTCAATCTCATTTATACCTCATGATTCATTAGATTATATCTGTAACTCAATCACGATTATTTAATAAAATTGACTGTCCATCAAATAAAAAAATAATTGATCATAATATAAAAGTTGAACCCCAACCTTGAGAGCTCCCAACGCTCCACCCCTAGAGCTTTATGATGGAGGTAAATCACAGGATATGTTCCAACAGGCTAGGAAACAATAGCTGCATGTACACTGTGCCTACAAAGAGTCCAATTCCATGTTTCAGGAATCGAACCCCCACACTGCAAATGCCAACAAGTCGTGAGATAACCTCACTCCTGTCTTTTGTACCATTGAACTATGCCCAGGGGACTAATAATTGATCATAATATATTTAGATTGTTGAATGTGTGAATGTACTATTGAAACCGAGATTTCATTATTCTAGGAATGATGCGTGCATTCTAATTAGGAAATGTGTTGCATGTTCATATAGTGTGGGTATTGCTCACTTGTTGACAAATTTACTTTTTGGTTCGAGTAGAACAGAACCACGATGTGTTTATTGAGTCTTTTGATTCCATTTTTAAAGATTCACTTTGTTAAGTTAATTAAGCCATGTATGTTCATTATTATTTTTGCATTTAACTATAATATGAAATACTTATTTTTAATATGCTCTCAAAATACGGTGACTCTTTTGAAAACACTAATTTAGAATTTCAAATGTTTATTTAATTTTAGATGGATGCTCGTTTGAACTTGTAGGACTCATATTATATTGAGACGTCTTAGGATTCCATTTTAAAGTAGTCAACCTATGTGAATGTTTTACCTATTAAAGTATCAAGGTATCTTAGAAATTGAGTAACACTAACCCATAATTTGGGAAATGGGAAAAAATAGAGAATTGATTAAATTGGCTGTGACTATTGTTCATATTAATTAAATTATAATACTTCAAGGCTAAAACTGATGTTGTTATGTTGTAATATCGTTCAAAGGAAATTAATTCTGTAATAGAATTATTATAAACTTTTGGGGATGATTAAGATAGTCACTTTCCTTTTGCTTCCACAGTCATATGTTCTAAAATCAAATGCAACCACAAAAGACTAAATCCCTCAGAGACTAATATCCATCACGAAAGAAAGAACGTACCCTTCGTCCATTCAGATTCCATTTTGCGAAAATATGGTTAATATGACTATGTTGAAAAACTTTGGAAATAGCTTAAAGAAATTTACTTGACTCAATCAATGCCCAACAAAATTTTCTTTCTTTATTGTTTCTTTAGTTTCAAAAATTGATCTCTTAAAATAATTGGATGGCAATCTTGACGCTTTCAATAAATTGGTTCTAGATATTACAAATTGCGATGAAAAAGTCTCTGATGAATATGAAGCTATTATTCTTTTAAATGTCATTCCTGATAACAATAAGGAAGTTAAAAAAATGCAATCAAATATGGGAGGGAGACCTTTACATTCAATGTAGTCTAAGGATAGTAAAATGAAAGTTGATAGAAACGAGTGAAAAACATGAGAGATTCACCAAATAATGAGTAGGTCTCATTTTAGGGATGGAAATGCGCAAAACAATGGTGGCAAGAAGAATGGGTGAAGTAGATCTGAGTCATAGGGGAAGTCAAAGGGGAGGAAATGTTATGGTTGTGGAAAACTAGGACATTTTATAAATGAATACCTCAAAGAGAAAAACAAGTTGAGAGATCAGAGGGGTGGTGAACCTAGTGAGGTAAACATTTTTGTTCCAAGAGATAAACTTGGGGAGTTTATATACTCTTAAATACTTAACCAGGAAAACTAACCATCTTTGGACTCCTATATGCAGGAGTGGATTCTTGACTCTGGTGTTCTTTTCATGTTACATCAAATAAGATCACTAGTGTGGGGTAGTGTTGCTGTCTAATTTGATAGTGGTTTTGTGCTCACACTAAAAGAAGTTAAGTATATTTTATGTATGGTAGGAATCTAATTTCTATGGAGGAATTAGAGCGTACAGGTTTCACTTGTGTACTTGGTAATGGAGTGTTAAAAATATTCAAAGGAGCACTTAGAGCCTTTAAGGTTACTATAAGAAATGGTATATACATTACGCATGCGGAGATAATGGGTGGTTTAAATTCTACTATCACTTACACTAATAACACACAGAAGTGACACAATAGTTTAACTCACATTGGTGTTAAGGGACATGCCTTAACAAGAAAGGTGCGTTTGGTAAGGATCAAGTGCCGGACACATTGTGTGACTAGTAAATGTCGTAGGATTTCATTTGCATCTCGTACACATAAGACATCTAGAGTGTTAAAATGCATTCATACTGATCTATCGGGTCCGGGAAGCAATCTCACTTTTGGTGGTAACAAATATTTTGTCTATTATTGATGGTTTTTCCAAATGTGCATGAGTTTATTTATTGAAAGATAATCTAAAACGTTCATGAATTTTAAAAATTGGAAAGTTAAGGTAGAGAACTGGTGAAAAGGTAATATATTTGCATACTAAGAATAGTCTCGAGTCTTGCAATGCTAATGAATATAGCATAACTAGACATAAGATTGAGCCTTACACTCTCCAGTAAAATGGGATTGCAGAAAGAGTGAATCATATTTTGGTTGACAAATTTAGAGGGTCTTTGACACCCATTTTCACGGAAGAATGAATTTTAGCATAGTAGATTCATGGAGAATGTGTGGATGAGAAATAAAGAAATTTTTTTGATTTACGTGTAATATTATTTTAATGAAAAATATGTGGTTAAAAAAAAGAGAGTGAAATATGCATTTTGAGAAAACTGGAAATCAAACGGGGCTTTAAATGTATGATGTTAAGTACTGGTGTACCTAAATGGTTTTGGAACGAAGCTGTTATGAATGCATCTTAGTTGACTAATATGACTTTATTCGTTGGTTTAAATGGTGATACTCCATATGAAATATAGTATGATCAATGTTTTGATTATTCTATACTTATGACCTTTATACTTCTTTGCCTCATCAAAAAACTAGAACCTAGACCTAAGAAGTTTGTCTTCTTATGTTACCCTAAAAGAGTTAAGGTATATAGGCAATAGGATAGAAGCCAAAATGGTGTGAGAATAATCATAAGTTGTGATGTCACTTTTAATGAGTCTGAGATGCCTTGCAAGGAGAGCGGAGAACAGTAAGAAATTGTTAGCCATTAATTGAGGTGGAGAGACCGAGTGTCCATATCTCCACTACCTCTAGTAAGGTAGAGAGTGATACACAATAAAACTGGCAAAACATAGAAATGGAAAGTTATGAGAAAATTCTTGAAGTCAATTCTTTCGACCAAGACCCTCTACTTGACTACCAATTAGGTATGTATAGAAGAAAAGAACAAGTATGGAACCACAAAGATTGTCTGATTATATCGTAGCTTATACTAGTTATTAAGAACTAGTTGATAAGAAGCCAAACACTTGTTTGGGGGTTGAGAAAATAGATGAGTTTTCTTTGCTAAGAATCAATGACCTTAGGATAATTTCATAGAAGATGCAACTAGGTCTATAAGATTAAGGAGTGAATAACTAAGAGTGAATCCGTGAGATATAAGCTAAGTTTATAGCCAAGGGATACACATAGAAGAAAGAGATAGATTATAATGAGACATTTTCACCCGTTAAGTATTTCATGATTAGGGTCTTGCTCGCTTTTGATGCTTTAGTTGCTTTTACATGGTAAACTTGATGAAAATATTTTTTATAAATCACCCCAAAGGTTTTGAAAGTAAATACAAACCTAATATGTGTGTTTTTTTTTTAAATGAAATCTCTTTGTAGGTTAAAACAGTCTCCACGTTAGTAATATAAAAAGTTTAATTCTTACATGTTGTCGATTAGTTTTAAGATGAGTGAGTTTGGCCATTGCTTGTAGGTAACACAAATAAAGAGTGTGTGTGTGTGTGTATTTGTTACTTTATGTGGGTGACATTTTATTAATTGGTCCTAACATGAAAGTGGTAAGCAGGATTAAAATTGAGTTAGGCAAAGAATTTGACATGAAAAACCTAGGACAAGCTAGAAGGATCCTTGGTATGGAAATTAACAAGGACAGGTCCAATTCTTACTTGTATATGCATTAAACTCCTTACGTGATTAAAGTTTTGAAGAAATTTGGCATCATCCATTCGTTGAAAATTTACATAAACATGCGTAGCGGAAATAAAAATAATTTCAATTGCCATCAGGATTCATCTTTTTATTTAGATAGAAACTGTGATAAAAATTATACATTTTCTTAAATCTGCAAACTCCTTTGCGTTATCTTTGTTCCAGCAACTTGGATTTGCCCCCCACAACTGTTCAATTGTCCAGTCTCAAATGAATTCCACACAGAGAGCAGATTCCTGTTACCAGAGTTTTCACTTCTTGTGCTAGCAAGAATTTTGAGATTCTCTACAGATTGAAAACCCTAGCCATGTAGTTATATAAGCCCAAACGGGTTTGGTCTGGTCTGATCCAATATTTAATTAATCTATTTAATTAAATCCGATCTGTGAATTAATTAATCCAATTAATTAATTCAGGCCTATAAATAATCAACCCAATTAATTAATTTATCTAACAATTATTAAATTAATTAATTGACAAATTACAATCTTTCAATTCTCTTTTGTGTGCGACCCATAGGTTCCCAATCACGATACCTAACGACGTGAAATATTATTTTGATATAATCAAAATTGATAAATTAGAATACTCTTTTAATTTATCACTAATTCACACTCCCCTTCCCAAATTGACATCTAGCAATGTATCAGGGTAACACATGCAACGAAAAATGTCACGTGATATGACAAAACCAAACTTATTCATTTACCATGAAACTATAATCCCTCCGTCAATATGAGCCGATCAATTACGAGATATGGAAGTGTGTCAATCTTGATTATCGATCATATCTTTCATTCTATTATTAAGTCAATAAGAGTCGAAAACTCCTTTTTGACTTATGTGTATTCCTTGGCCAAGGATTTCGTTATCAACTTAATTGAACGAAATGCAGATCACAATCTCTTACTATCTAATAGTGACGAATCCTCTATTAGTTGTTCACAACCTTCATATTTTTCTTGACATACCCAAACGATACTGTATTAGTGACCCTTGGTAGAGCAACATCCAACACCATCAAAGCATGACTGTCCTCATACAAGACACTATGACGACCTCAAATGAAAGGATAAATTCTACTACCGAACGTTAGAGATTAACCACTAACACTCAGGTAGTTATCCATGTGAAATCTCTTAGCGAGTCTCTAATGTTTCGTTCTATAACAAAACATCCACGTGTTCATTTAAGTATTACCATACTTTAACTTGTAAGATCAGCTACTTACTTCGCAAGTGAAAAACGCCAGACGTGATAGTCTATCTGTAATAACGATATCCATATTTCATTATTACTTACGACCACGGATTATTTAAGAACCAATCATACGTAATTTATATCTCACAATCACAACTCTTTGTGATTAACAAATCACTTAAACTTGAATCTTCGAACTCTATTATTTAAAATTATTTATCAGAATATTTATTTAAATAAATAATAGATCTTACCAAAAATAATGCATTAAACATATTAAAAATTTTTACAACCTAAATCGATTGGATATAGGGCATAACACTTACAAACTCCCACTTACACTAAATCCAAACACTTATGTATCTAAAACCATAAGCGTCCACATGACGATCATATTTCTGTTGTGACAACGACTTTGTCAACGGATCTGCAATATTGTCATTTGTGGGAACTCGCTCTATCTTTACATCATTTCTTTGTATAATCTCCCTAATGAGATTATATCACCTTAGCACATGTTTGGATCGTTGATAAAATATTGGTTTCTTCGCTTGTATGATGGTTCCATTGTTATTACAATACAAATGTATGGGATCAACAATGCTAGGAACGACTCCCAGTTCATTAATGAACTTCTTGATTCAGACAGCTTCCTTCGCTGCTTCAGAAGTAGCAATGTACTCGGCTTCTGTTGTTGAATCAGCGGTTGTCTCCTGTTTGAAACTTTCTCAACTAACTGCTCCATTGTTGAGAGTAAACATATAACCAAATTGAGACTTGCTATCATCCATATCAGATTGAAAGCTAGCATCAGTATACCAATGAACATTCAGTTCATCTCCTCCATAGATCAAGAATACATCTTTAGTCCTTCTCAAGTACTTAAGAATGTTCTTAACCCTATTCAGTGTTTCTCACTAGGGTTTGCTTGAAACCTGCTCATAATACTTAGAGAATATGAAACATCTAATCTCGTACATAGCATCGTATACATGATAGATCCTATCGCCGAAGTATAAGAAATCTTATCTATGCGATTTCTTTCATCATGTGTTTTAGGGCACATATCTTTTGAGAGGTAAATTACATGTGACATAGGACACAAACCTCTCTTGGACTCTTTCATGTTAAATCTTCTTAAGATTTTATCTATGTACGAAGATTGGGATAAGTCATGCAATCTTCTAGATCTATCTCTATAGATCTTGATTCTCAAGATATACGCTGCTTCTCCCATATCTTTCATGGAGAAATTCTTTGACAACCATAATTTTACCAATTGAAGCATTGGGATGTCGTTTTCCATTAATAATATGTCATCGACATATAATATTAGGAATACGACTACGCTCCCACTTGTCTTCTTGTAAACACATGGTTCATCTTCATTTTTGATAAAATCAAACATTTTGATTGTCTCATCAAAACGAAGATTCTAGCTCCTAGAGACTTGCTTTAATTCATAAATGGATCGATTTAGCTTACATACCTTGCTGGCTTCTTTGGATTCAAAACCTTCATGCTGTGTCATGTACACCTCTTGCAAGTTTTCATTACGGAAAGCGATTTTGACATCCATTTGCCATATCTCATAATCATGGTATGTAGATATTGCAATCAAAATTTGAATGGACTTTAGCATGGGTACAGGCAAAAAGGTTTCATCAAAGTCAACACCTTGTCTTTGTGTGTAACCTTTTGCTACTAGCCTTAGTTTGTATGTATGAATATTTCCATCCACATCGACCTTTTTCTTGTAAACCCATTTACAACCTATGTGTTTTATCCCACCAGGAAGATCGACCAAGGTCCAAACCTTGTTCTCATGTATCGAGTTAATTTCGAATTTCATGGCCTCTTGCCATCTTTTTGAGTCAACATTTGACTTCGCTTCTGTGTAGTTTGCAGGTTCATCATATTTGATTAATAATACTTGATTAGTAATCATGAATTTGTACTTTCTGGGAGGTCAAAAGATCCTACTTGATCTACGCTGAGCTAGTGTCCTCAGGAGTGTCACATCCTGATCAAAAGTATGTCCATCAACAAGTATGGCATCAAACTCAGGTTCATCTAATTGGTCAACAGTATCTATGGATTCCTGAACTTTTTCAAGTTCTATCTTGCTCCACTACCCTATTGTAGAATAAACTCTTTCTCTAGGAATATGGCATGTCTTGAGATGAACATCTTTTCTCAATGGGATTATAAGACTGATATCCATTTGTCTCTTTCGGATATCCTACAAATATGCATTTATCAGATTTAGCATCAAGCTTATCCGATTTATTTCGCTTTACATAAGTGTCACAGTCCCAAACATTCATGTGAGATAAGTTTGATCTTTTTCCTCTCCATAGCTCGTATGGAGTTTGGTCGACTGATTTAGATGAGACACGATTAAGTGTGTAGCATACAACAATTAGTGCATGACCCCAAAATGATTTTGAGATGTTTGCATGGCTCATGATTGATCGTACCACGTCTAACAATGTGCGATTCCTCCATTCAGATACACCATTATGTTGCCGTGTATATGGCGGAGTCCATTGTGAGAGAATCTCATTCTCTTTTAGATAATCTAAAAATCCTCCTTTAAATATTCTCCACCTCGATCTGATCTTAGTGTGAGAATATTTTTACCGATTTGTTTATCAGCTTCAAGTTTGAATTTCTTGAAATTTTCAAGTACTTCATGCTTGAATTTCATCAGATATACAGAACCATATCTCGAATGATCTTCAGAAAATGTGATGAAGTAAGAAAAATCACATTTAGTGGTAATTGATATGGGTCCACATACATCAGTATTATTAGTCCCAGTAGTTCTGCAGCTCTTTCTCCTTTTCCAGTAAAAGGGGATTTGGTCATTTTGCCTAATAGGCACGACCCGTATTTGTCAAATGATTCAAAATTAGTTGACCCCAAGTATCCATCTTTATGTAATTTGGAAATGCGTTTGTTATTAATATGACTCAATTTGTAATGCCAGAGATAGATATTATTTAGATATCACTTTTATGTCTTTTATTTTCTATACTCGTAATAGATGACTCAGTATCAAGAATATAAATTTCATTTTGCAACACACCACAACCATAAAAGATCTCATCTTTATAAAACGAACAACGATTGTTCTTAACATTAATTGAAAAACCTTTCATGTCCAAACACAAAATAGAAATAATGTTTTTAGTAATGGCGGGAACAAAATATCAATTTTCTGATTCTAATACTAAGCCCAAAGGTAGTGGTAAGAAGTATGTCCCTACAGCTAATGCAACAACTCTTATTCCATTCTCTACACATAGGTCAACTTCTCTTTTTTGCACTGGTCTACTTCTCTTTAGTCCTTGCATATTCATACAAATATGAGATCCACATCCGTTATCTAGTACCCAAAAAGCTAACGAAGTAGACATATTAATCTTGATAACAAAAGTACGTGAAGTAGAAGCTTCAGAAAATTTCTTTCCATTCAAGCTTGCGAGGTAAGCCTTGCAGTTCCTCTTCCAATGACCTTTCACTCCACAATGATAGCACGGGTCATCGGATTTGGTATTATCCTTACCTGCTTTGGCTGCTTTGTTATTGCCCTTAGCCTTTTTGGACGTTTTCTTAAATCTTCCTTTGATTTTCCTCTTAGTACCGTTGGAAGATTGAATGGCTAAGACATGGCTAGTACTAGCATTGACATTAGTCTCCACAGTTTTAAGCATATTAAACAACTCAGGGAGTGTGCATGCGATCTTATTCATATTGAAGTTCATAATGAACCGCGAATAACTATGTGGCAGAGATCGTAGAACCAAGTCAATACTTATTTCTTGATCCAAGATAAAACCCAATTGAGCCAATTTCTCAATGAAACCAATCATCTTTAGCACATGAGCACTGACTGAAGATCTCTCTGCCATTTTGCACCGGTACAGCTGTTAGGAGGTCTCATACCTCTCCACAAGGGATTGCTCATCATACAACTCATTGAGATTAAAAATCATAGTGTAAGCATCCATACCCTCATGTTGCTTCTGCAACTCAGGTGACATAGCTACAAGCATCACACATGCTGCATGTTATCGTCATCATTGTGTTTGTTATAAGCAGCCACCTCTTCCTCAGTGGAATTTTCAGTAGGCACCTCTGGAAGGGACTGCTCAAGGACATATCCAATTTTCTCATACTTGAGAATGATTCTCAAATTGCAGTGCCAATCGAGAAAATTTGGTCCAATCAGTTTGCTGGCATCCGTATGCCTTTTAAATTCATATGATTACTCATGATTCAAAAACTGTAAATGACGAAAAATATAGAATCAATATGTATTATAATTCATGTGCACAAATTCAATATGGACTTTAATTAAGCGTGCTCTCACTATCTAAAATAAATTCATGACCCTCATACATAAATATTGGATCCACATTTGATTCACAGTGGGGTGGGATCCCATTCGTTATATCAAGATCTTGAGTGTACTCAATAAATCTTAATAAAACATTTGGGGTAGATACTATTATCAATTGTATCTCCATACCACTCCTAGATCATTAATCTGACAACTCTTTGTCTTCATACATCTTATGTGTTAGCTTAACATGTCTCTAAAACTTATCTCCTTAAGTGTACTCAACAAAAGATAAATTTTAGTTAAGTCAAACCCATCATTCAAAAATATCAAATATTTCATAGTGTCAAACATATCCCTAACAGACCAGCCTTGAGTGTACTCAACAAAAGATAAATTTTAGTTAAGTCAAACCCATCATTCAAAAATATCAAATATTTCATAGTGTCAAACATATCCCTAACAGACCAGCCTTGAGTGTACTCAACAAGTTAAGGTCGATATATAATTCTTGTTTTTCACTATAATGATGGAAGGCAAATAATACTGACTTAATATTTTAACGAGGGATTCAACATGCAATTGTCTCATCAAGTAACTATGCAAATAAATATACAAATAATAGTATGGATGATTATGGACTTATTCTATCTAAATTTTTCAAGCCAAAAGGAAGACTAGTTGGTCAATTCCTAGGGATACAGTATTGAATCAATATCAATTCACCATCTCCTTGGTTTTCTCCTTTTCTCGCGCCTTCAATTAGTCCAGTTGCAACATGTATCCTATACCAGTTGGCACGCATGCCTAAACAAAATTGGATTTGTAGGCCCATAATAATAACAACAATGAACTCCCAGGTCCAAAATAATAAAGAGCTCGCAAGCCCATAATAACAATAACAATAACAATAACGGACTTGCAAATCCAAACCAATTAAGTGCTCGTAGGCCCATAAAACGACAAGAATTAAATCAAGCATTCAACACATCCATATAGTCGAGTCCATAATCATCCATAAATGAACATTCATCATATAAATGATTCCTATATAATATCTAATATTATATGTAATGTCTCAAGAATCTAACAATTATAGTCGTCAAAACTTATTTTAAAAAAATGAATCAAAGTTATTAAATAAATAATTAATCAATTAATTAATTATTTTAATTGGCGGGCCTATTTAATTAAAATCAAATTTTAATTAAATCCCGAATTAGAGTCCAACTCCAATTCCATAACTATTGGGCGAAGTTATTTAATTAAATTCCAAATTAGAGTCCAACTCTAATTCTATAAAAAAAAATTAAGGGTGTGATAATTCAATAAAAATCAAATTTTAATTAATTATTAAATTAGATTCCTACTCTAATTTCAATATGTATTGGGGAAGTAGTATTAATTAAAATCAAATTTTATTTAACATCATATTATAGTCCAACTCTAATATAATTGAATTAATATTTTAATTTAGGACAAGAATCCCTAAATAAAACAAAACTTCAATTTAGGGTCAAAATTAAATATTTAAGTTAAAATCTAATTTTACAAAATATTAAAGTCGTCAAATTTTAAATATATCATTAATTTTGGGCCTAAATTGAAACATGGGTCAAATCCAATAAAATCATAATTTCAAAAACCATTTTGAATTCAAATTTTAAACCAATTTCAAAAATTGCAATTTGACCCAAGTCAAAATTAAAACATAAGTCCCTCAATTTCGTAAATTGCATGACAGGCCCTTTATTAAAAATTGTAAAAACACCCATATATCTTTAATTGCAGATAGGGGCTCGTAATTACATTAATTGCAATAGAAGCCCCCATCTCCACTTTCCCCCATTTGAAACCCTAAAATAAAATTTTTTTTTCCTTCGGGGCCACCCGCCTAAAGAGCGGCAGTCCCCCGACGCATACAACAGCTCCTTAGCCTGCTATGGCAGCGACAGTGCCTGCAGGCACGTAGCACGCAAGGTGGCATGCGAGCTATTGCGCGCTGTCACCGCCGCCACCCGTAAAATCCAAAAAGCTTTTTTTTTTTTTTTTCAAAAATCAAATTTTGGAGAAATAAAATTACATTTATTGCTAGATTCAAGAACAAAATGAAAAATCAATTTTTTATTTCATAAATACGTAAATCAATTCCTAACAAATACAAAGTTGGCTCTGATACCACTGCTAAAAATTTACCAAAACATGCGTAGCATAAATAAAAAAATTTCAATTCTCAAGTTGGCTCTGATACCACTGCTAAAAATTTACCTAAACATGCGTAGCATAAATAAAAACAATTTCAATTCTCACCAGGATTCATCTTTGTATTTAGAGAGGAACTGTAATAAAATTTGTACCATTTCTCAAATCTGCAAACTCCTTTGCTTTATTTTTGTTCCAGCAACTTGGATCTGATTTCCACAACTGTCCAATTGTTCAGCCTCCAATGAATCCCACACAGAGGGCAAATTACAGCTTCTAGGGTTTTCTCCTCTTTTGCTAGC